TCGATCGCTCTTCCTGTTGTGCATTTGAGGCTTCTCCCGGGGCTTCGATTCCTGTTCTCTCCTTGAGTGTCGCATGTAAGCAGCTTAGAACGAAATTTCATAGGTATTTGTTACGTCGAAACACTTCGAAAAGATGAGTCTCCTCTGCCTTTTGAAGTTGAAGTGTGCTGCAGTGCGTTTTTGCTCGTTTGAAAAGTGTTTTCACGCAGCTTTTCTTGTGCGCCAGGGGTTGGTTGCTGTGAAAACTGAGGATTGATATATGGGTATGATATTTGAGGCTGAGAAATATTTCTCTTTTCAGAGTCATGTTGCACGAGTTCGATCAATACCTGTAAAGAAAAGGGCCAATAGTGGTGCATATTGAAAATAATGTGGAACGAAAGTAGCTCAAGATGTGGATGTTGGTGTTGGTGTGTTCTCCTAACTGGGAGAGTTGTTCGCAGACGTTTCGTAGTCGGGCTAGGCAACATCATCACTCCAACTTCGGGGAAGCACCTGTCCTCAGTGTGACCGCGCTTATATAGTTCTGTTCGAGAGTTTTTATTGGCCGTTGGAGTCCCTTCAATCCTATTGGTCAGTTGTGAACATTTGCTGTAATTTGATTGACTGCGTCGTGTCATGGTGAAGCCCCCTTCTTCATCATTGGTCGATTGGCTTTCATGGACCAACCGGAAACCGGTTTGAACCGGTTTCGAACTGGTTCTGCGTCGATTTTGGCTGGAACAGTTTAGGGTCCTCAGTGATTCCTTAAGTAATGACAGATTGGTTCCAGTTCTATATGTTTGTTCATGCAGTCCATCCTGGGGTGCCATGCTTCGACGAATTCCCGTATCGACTTTGTGGTTTTTCTTCCGGTTATGCTTGCGTTATCCAGTTCGAAGATGTGGTTCCAGCATCCATGTGGATTGAGATTTGAGACTTCTCGTGTCTTTTGACTGCCAATGTGTGTTGGCGTAGTCGGGTCTTGAGTTTTCTGCTCTTTTGGCCGATGTAGTATTTGTCACAGTCTCGATACTTTATTCTGTGTATGACGTTTGAAAAATCTTCTTTTGGCGGTTGATCCTTTGGTCTTTATAGGATAGCCTTCATTGTAGCCGTTCTCTCGTGTGCAACCAAAATTCCAATTCCGAGACTCCTTGTATATATGGCAGTGTTGTCCGTTTGATCGTCGGTCGCTCTTCTTGTTGTGCATTTGAGGCTTCTCCCGGGGCTTCAATTGCCGTTCTCTCCTTGAGCGTCACGTGTGAGCAGCGTAGCAGTAAATTTCGTGGGTATCCGTTACGTCGAAACACTTCCAGAAGATGAGCCTCCTCTGCTTTTGAAGTTGAAGAGTGCTACAGTGAGCTTTTGCTCGTGTGAAAAGTGTTTTTACGCAGCTTCTCTTGTGTGCCAGGGCATCGTTGCTGTGAAAACTGAGGATTTGGTCCGTGTCGGTTGGTTTTCGGTAGACGTCGGTTTCCAGTTGTCCATCTTCAGTTCGTTTGACCAATACATCTAGGAAGAGTAGTTGTCCGTTCTTCAGGGCCAATTTGATTCCGGCAAACACGTTGTTGATTAGGCGATGTGTTTTCTCCAGTTGGCCAGATTTCAGGATGACGTAGGTGTCATCCAATAGCCTGACCCACAATTCCCCGCTGACGATAGGAATTGCAATGATTTCCAATCTCTGCATAACCGCTTCTGCAATGAGTCCTGAGAGTGGTGATCCCGTCGGGGCGCCTTGTATCTGTTCGTTTGGCTGTCCGTCGAATTGGAAATACGTGAAAAGATAAAGGTCCAAAAGGTCCATGAGGTTTTTCTGTCCGATGCGACTAGTTGTTGGGTTATCATTGATTAGAGAGAGCTGCCATTGTTTCTTTCACCAAATTGACGTCCATTGAAGTAAATAGAGTGGGGTGACGTCAAATGGGACCATGATTTTGTCTTCCTCCACTTTCATTTGTTTGACCTTTTCCAGAAACTGCTCTGATGATGAGTTGATAGAATGTGAACCTCGAACCAAATGACTGAGCAGTTTGTACAGTTCTTTCGCTAGGCGGTACGTGGGTGGTTCTGGTAGTGATACGATTGGTCGAAGCGGGACATCCGGTTTGTGAATCTTCAGAAGTCCATAGAAGCATGGTATTGTACTGTCCTCCGGTTTCATGCGTTTATATTAATCTGCCGTAATTTAATTGTTCTTTTTCAAATTACTCAATGCTTTAGTGATCTTGTTTTCGGTTTTCTTTGTTGGGTCCACTCCAATCTGTTTATACGTGTTGATATCTTCCAGTAGTTGTTTTTCCTTCGTTATGTAATCCGTCTTGTTCATTAGCACCGTCAATCTCCCTTTGTCTGTGTGTTCCCGAACACATATCAGCATGGGTTGAACCACGAACGAGTGAGAATGAGTGGCACAGAGCACTTAAATCTTCAACTGCTCGTCATCTGTTGGTGCGAACTGGTTACCAAGCCGATTGAGGAGTATTGTTCCAGGTTATTTACACAATTCAGAATCGGCAAACGAGCACTAAAAGCTCCTGTCGAGTCCACAGTGGGAGGTATACAGGTGTTGATCAAACTCGTGCAACATCATTCTCATTTTGAAAATACATTTCAGTCTTCAATATCACACTTGTATATTGATCGCTATGGGTAAATTATATTCCTTCCTGATTTTATCTCCCACTTCTATGTTCTTAGTTCTCTTCTATCACCGTTTTAATTAGCGTGACCTTGAGCGTTGTGATAAAATTTGCAGCAGTTCGAAAGTTACAGCTCAGATTTGGAAAATATTTTAAGCAAAGCAGCATGGGAATTCATTCTTTTAAATAGATGATTCCTGTTATTTCACAACTGATGCACCAGCAAACATTGTCAAAATCAACAAATCGTACATTTTAATGGCATGTGCCTAATAGAAGCAAAGACGTAAGCGGATATTATATCAGATATGTTGCGTCTAATGTGGGGCAATATTATATTGAATCCCGTGAATGAGCCTAGAAAAACGAAGCATTGAAGAGAACAAATATGATGAAAATCAGAATGTTGCACGAGTTTGGTCCATACCTGTATAGAAGATTGACATTGTCGTGGTTACCACGTAAGTGAAAAAGTGAATTGGTATTGTGTCGGATTATCACTTAAAATATCGATCGGCACATTTACGAGCAAGTTGTTTAGCTTTATTCAAAGAACTAGTCTGGCTATCAAGAATGAACGTGCACGCGGAAACCACATTCACAGTCACGTATAATTAAATCCCCGGTCACCGAAGAGCGAGAGTGCTATACCGATTTACGAGAACAAATCTGAGGGGTAGGAGCACTTGCCTTGTCATCTTCACCGTGTACTTCCATACCTTCGGCCGCGTACGATGCAATCAGCGGTTTCAGTTTGTCATCAATATCCGCGGATATTTCTTCGTAATCAACAGGTTTCACTGGTTGCTGATTGGATAGATCATATTTGCCACGTCTTTAGAAGAATTGAAAAGCAAAGAAATAAGCACTTTTTAGTAGTTTTCAGTCAAAGCTGAGTGAAAGAGTTGCGTGAGGAAACCTTTTCAAACGTTTCGGAATGACGTGTCGTTCAAGATACGTACAGTATATCATTAGTATTTGATATATTAATTAGTATTATTACTTTCACATCATTCGAATGTGCGTAACAGCAAATGAACAAACCATTCGTTTTCTCTGAGTTTTCTCTATGTGAGATCAACTGTGGCGTATCCCATTGTGTGCACAAGCAGAGCGAACGTCTCGTGTTAGACCATATGTCTGTCACTATGTACCAGACAGATAACGTTCGCGGTACATACTGACATGAAGTTTAGTTGCTTCATTTTAATTTACTGCGGCTGATCCCTTGGAAAGGATTAGCCGGCTTCAGACATGATCATGGAGTTAATTAGGAGCGTCGTACGAGAGACGTCCACAGCGTCACTCGGCCATTGTCCTTTTCAGCGCACACCTAAAGTCTTTGCACAACCAAGTGCGAACTACAAGGCAACAGGAAGTGATTCCTCGCCTCGGAAATGAGGGGGTCAATGAATTTAGTTGTAAAAGGTCAGTCACATCGACCNCATCGACCTCCGTCACGAAACTGTCATTGAGCTTATGCGGCTTTTAAACAGGAGCCAGGTGACCAGCCTGAAAACCACCACACCCTGGTAATGCCATCGTCGTTTGTTCGCGACTGCTTATTTGTTGCAGTATGCCACAACATATTCACAGCTAACCTTACTTGGTGAAGGTATCTCCCTATCCATAACCCTGGGACGCGCCTGGTAGCATTCAGTTTTGCTTCATTCGACGGAAGTTGTTTATTAACGACGGTTGGAGTAACCCAACCATCCTCATCTATATATGGGATAAGAAGTAGCCATGCAATGCAGTCATCGATCCATCAACACATATCGATGAATTCGTCGTGAAAATAGGAAATGAAGCGGGAACTGAAAGGCTATGAAGCACTCTGGACACCTGTTTCGACCCGGTTGGGTGTAATCAGCAGTGTGAAAATCCATCGATCCAATTGAGGATCGCGAACCTGATATCACAGAGGCAGAAAACAAGCATGCTACCCACTCGGCCACCCAGGGGGAGCTAAGCAGACCGTTTTTCATTGGCCATTTACACCATATAGCTGAACCTATCTTTGTGAGCATTTTGCAGGCCACGGATCTGGTTCGTCTCAGCACTAGCTAGCCTCCGGGGTTATGAATCGGTTGGAAACATTCACAACGTGAATACTTCATTACTCACATATGGATGACTCAGTTTCCACATTCACCACATTAGCAAACAACTTGATTCTGTGTTAAGATCGTCCAAACTCAGTCAAATTAACCGTACAAAGTACACACATAGCTGACACGTGTGCTGAGCATGACCAACAGCACGTGCCAGATCGATTGTGCGCTTCTGGAAAAAGTTGATCATTCAGATACATCTTTGTGTCTTAAGCTGGTCTTCACGTTGACTCTGTTCGAGTAAACTACGGCTGAGCAAAGCGGGCAAAACGGTATAGCTTTGACCCACTAGCCCAACGTTCATCTTAGAGGACATCCGTACAAACTAGTTGTCTCAAAATGCCGATTGGAATGCTGATGTCAATTATTCGAAGTCAGAGTGTGTTCGAACTGGAATTCTCTCCCACCCCACGTCGTCTAATCACCAAGTATTGAATCTTCCAAACTGAGACTTGCTGAAGAATTAGCACACCTTAAATTTCAACATAAGCGAAGCAGCGTGCAGCAGCGTGAAAAAATCCCGTATCTGTGACATTTTACACAAGGAATTGTATGTATCACTGTCTTTTAACCACAACACGAGTCTATGGGATGAGAAAACCATGGGCTTGTAATTTATTCCCATAATAAATCTTTGAACTTTGAAGTGCTATAAAAACGAATGAAATTTCCACGGCACATTTTAAACTGATCTTTACAGTCCATTGGGCAGATTCCGTTGGGTTCTGAGGAACACCTGTCATTGTAGTCACATATGCCAACTGGCGAACTCTACACGCCCGTGTAAGGTGGTTAGGTGATCCATATGTGAATAGATCAGTGCGATTGAGGTAGTCTTGTAGCTCACTCAGCTGGTAGAGCGAGCTCTATAAAAAGCGTAGACGATATCTATGTGCGGATTAAAAATCCACCGTAATTAGTGATTTTTTCACAATTCCAAGATAAAAGCTCCACTCAAAAAAAAGAGCACAACTATGGTCGCTTCGGTCGATGATGAATTTTTGTGGTCAATTTTTACATTTCCCTGCCGATTTCTCATGTGATTTGTGTATGATTGAGAACATCAGATACACAGTCCAGATCAGTTTAAACAAGCATTAACCATGCAGGTTCGTGCACCGGTTTTGGTTGTTGTTTTGCTGCGTTTTGGCCAACCATTTAGATGAAAGAGTAGAATAAAGATAGGAGTGTTGATAGCAGAGTCAAAAGGAAGATAGAAAATTCATATCGTCTACGGTTGCAAGAATATTGACTAGATGCATGATCGTCACTGTTTGCGACACCCAGCCATATCACTCAGCGTTTCTAATCATCCCGTGCAATGGGTAGTCAGGCTCTGTGAGAATACTCTCCAAAAATTTCACATAGGAAGTTGTGTAATATTCTGAAAGTTTCCCGGTTAACTCATTCACAGGAATAAAAAGACACTGCTAATAATAATTAGACCGTGGCGCAAGATTTTGAAATCTTGTTTAGGCAAGCCAAGGCAAATAACTGGAGAACAATAAAGTAATGTGGGGGAAACCCCACACTGATACGCAAAGGTAGGAATAACAGACTGGGTTGCGCGAAGCTGCTTGAGCTTTCCAATTTGTAATGAAAGTCACTGCAATTTACCCGTGCAGTTGTGGATATGGGTTGGCCAACAAAGATTGCTATCTTTATTTACACCAAGACATTCGACAGGATTGCAACTCATCACAAGAGGCGCGGGGAGGGGGAGAGGTCTGTCGAGTATGAAGAGGGTGCATAACTAGAGAAAAAATCAACACATTTGTTGGGATTTAAGCTTCATCCCGAAACGCAGTAGAATGGCTGATGTTGACTAATATTGTCCGCAAAGACGATCAGGCTGGAGAAAGAAGAAATGGGTCATTCAGGAAACGCTCTTGATATATTTTCTCTAGTCCACTGGACTCGAATCACATTTGGAAAGGGAAACACAGGCGTTTACATCTATAACCGTGAACCAATCAGATTGTTCGACGGGCAAAATTAAAGTCTTATACGGACCAATTGATGCAGTAAAACAAACAATCAATTCAAACAGCACTTTCCAACACAAATATCATCTGTATATTTCAAGACATGTACAGGAGAAACACAAGGGATATCACATCATACAACTGATAGGCAACTAAAACTGCGTAACCATCACGACCTGTTCAACATTGAACTGAGATATCAATGGACAGCGAACCACGCACAGTTGCAACAACAACAACAACAACAACAACAACAGCATGAGGAGAGAAAGTGGCGGGTAAGAATGGGTAACACTCACAGAGATNTTCCAGACCGAGAACATCGCAGAATTTGCTCAATGTGATCACCCCCGTATTGTCCGGATCAAACAGTTCTTGCCAACGCTGATTTGGAACAGAAACAGTGAGAAATAATTTAGAAAATGAACAAGAATACAAAAACTGTTTGTGAGAAAACACCTCTTATGTAATTCTGTGCCGACGAGTATTATCACTCAGTGGAATTTGGAAAACATTCCACAACTGCCCGAATCCATTTGTTGCTGTGCCTCATATTCCCCTATCCACTAATTACTCCGTGTTGGATCGTTTATCATTCGGTTGCCATGGAAATCGTCAACATGGGTGTATAACCAAGACCTTTCTGTGGTCTCGATTCAATTTGGTTCGGGGACAGTGCCCAAGCGGAGAAAGGAAACCAGACGCTACCAATGATCAGCATTGATTGATGAGTTCTATACATGACTGTTCTCATTGTGTACACACATGGTGGTAGTACACGTGGAGACCTTTGTGTTTGCTTGTTGCCTGCGGTGTGAATCTCCGTGGTATGTGTACACGTATGCGTTGAAATATCACTACATATAATACATGAAAATCGATTGTTCCTATGCACACAGACGGCTCACTATTCAAGCTTCAGTTAGACTCAAAATCATAGTACATGTTACCGTATATTGCTAAAATCTAAGATTGGTTTCTACTGATTCGGACAAGAAGAATCGATTGTGTGAAATCGATGCCCTGAGGACAGTTTGTTTCCAACTGGTGTTTTCCGTTTGGATTGCCAGATGTCGACGTGTCTGTGTGTGTGTGTGTGTGGCTTTAGCAAACTACACAAACAACAACAACAGCAACGACGACGACAAACATAACCCGACCCGGATAAAGTGCATCGTTTTCGGACCCATTTTCGAATGTAGGATTGAATAGCACAAAGTGCATTTCATTGTTGGCCCCATACAGCTCACGGACACAGATCACCGCGTGTCGAAATGTGCCTCAGGTCACACATAAACAATAGACACTGATCAAACCATTGGTAGTTTGAGTACTGCTCAGGTTTGCTGACGAAGAACAGGTATTGATAAATTGGTTCAACTAAGCACTATGAAATCACTGCTCGAGGCGAGCAATAGTGGTACTCAGTTAATAATGTTCTTTAAAATCGTTTTGAAAAATGTATATTGCCGGAAACAGATTTGGAGTGAATGAAAGATCAGGGTTTAAAAGTGTCAATTCTTCAATAATCCAAGTTTGCTTTGGCCTCCGAATGTAAGATCCCATCACAATCCTATTTCAACTATAAGAAACCATATGATTTAATTCTGAACGTTAGGAACAGTGTCCTCATGGTGCATTTTAGTTTAACAAATTTCACACATTGCCAAAGATTTTGTACCTGATTTGTAGTGGATCATTTTAGTAAAACCCGGGGTGAAACGTGAACAGAACAAAACCACCGGAACACTATGGTTGAATCAGCTGAGTTTTCAGTTCATTGTAAAATACATTGCGATTGGCAAAGGAATATGGCAAGTTGAGCTAAAAGACGGAGGACTGGTATGCAGTGGTACGTGCACATTGAGGTTCGCGAATTTAGATTAACTTAGACTGATGTGAATTCACTTAAAAGTCACAAAAGTTGTTTTCACAAGCTGGCCACGATATAAAGCCTCCATAAAAAAATGATTGGTTTGAAGTTCTTTACATCATCATCATCGTAAAGGGTAATACACTAAAGCCAACTTCACTGATCGCTGCCAAACTCATAATGCATACAAGGTAAGTGAGAATCCGTAGGGAGGATAGGGATTTGGTCTAATTTAGGGACGGGAAAAGAAAGCGAACCTCTATGGTCAACAGACAGGGTACACAGAACATTTGTGTACAAGTACTACTTCTAGCATTCTGGACTGATAAGAGATGACAGTAACAATAAAAACAACAATAGTAATGGTATATTTCACAACGAAAGTCGTGAGGCATGCTGGGGTGTATGAGCATTTTGTACAATAAATGGCAGAACATTTGCGTCGACAGAGTTCGGAGAATTAAAAAGAAAACAACGGAACACAATCATGTTTACGCGCGACAAACAAAAAAGAAACACAAAACGGTCAATGGACATTTGGTTCCTTCGGGGATCGATAAAAGAAAAAGTGAGCAAGGGAACACAGTACTACCAGTTTGTAGTTCTGCAGATAAGTAGTTATGAAGAAGAAAAGTCACAGAGGAGAAACTGGAATAATGGAACATGTGTATAAATGTCAATGAATTGTATTATTCAGGATTGAGTTCGATGCAGAACGATAAAAGAAAACGAACGTACAGGAGTGCTGTACGCCTAGAGCTAGAGAGAATGGGACAGCCATGAGGGGTTAAGGCTCCAGGGGCGAAAACACATCGGTAGGTGAGGGCAGCGCTTTTGCTGGCTGAAAATTTCATGCCCCATGTTGCGTTCCAGCATTCAAGGGATAGTAAGTCGGCTGAGATTTTCTGAGCTAAGCTGAAAGAATCAGTTGTATTGGCCGGGTAGATGATTTTAATAGCATCGGCAACTAGGAAAGGGTTCCCGAATTTTACAACTCAGAAGATATCATTTACACACATGAGGAACAGTAAAGGACCAACGACACTGCCTTGGATGAATCCGTTGGTTATGGGTCTGGGGTTCGATTGGGAGCCGTTGACTATGACTTTTTGGGTTCAGTTGGAGAGGTACGAGGTGAGCCATGCCAAGAGAAAACCAATGAGACCAAAACCTCGAATTTTTGCCAACAGTCGTGCGTGTAATACACAGTCGAAAACTTTTGAAATGTCGAGGACTGACTTGGTATAATCAATTGATGCCGAGAGAAGATTGAAAAAGTCAAGTTGGCATATCGTGCATGAACAAAGTTTCACAAAACCATGCTAGCTATCGTTAATAAGAATGTTTGTTAGCAGGTGTTTGTCGCCAGTAAGATCACCACTGCCATGACCTTCAGCGTCTCCAATCATATAGTTATGGAGCCTTTTGAACCCGACCCCACACCGTGAAGATGAAAAGCGAATGCCGAACGGAACAATTGAATTTGCTAATCTGTCCAGTGCTCTTTGTGCTTCCTCCATACATTTGAACAAGCAAACGATATCATCAGCGTACTAAAACTAATTAACATTTTGAAGACACTTAGTGTATTCTTCAGTATTTTGTCCACGACTAATTTCAACAGGAATGGCGAAAGAGGGTACCCTTGACGAACGCCACTGCTGGTTTTCGAACGGTTTCTTAGCCCGCCGTATACCCTGCTTCACTACCAGCAGTATGCGAGCAGAGTGGCCTCAGTATGTTCACATACTTCTGTAGCATTGCTTTGCGAAGGACCGAATCTATAAGGGACTCGCGATCTTTTGCAAGTGGACCAAGGACTATTACCTTATAAGCAAAAAATAAAGAGGGGAAAGTGTTTTACCAAATGCAGAGCAGAAGAAGAAAACAGGCTGAATGCTTTCCTAATATAGTGAAAACAGAAGTACCGTATTGAGACAAAGTAAAATCTTGGTTAAAGACAACCCAGGGGTCCAAAATGGATTTCACCACAGTACTATTAGTCCGAAGAACTCGTTCTTGATGCCCTTCAATTCGGTCCGTTATATCGGCCAACTCAATCCGTATTTCCGGGCTCCACCGCCGTGTTTCACATCGCGTCTTTAGATCCGTGGAGCATAGTCACACACACACACACACACACATACACACACGATGTTGGTCATGGTCCAAACGAACCTGAATGATTTATGGGTGGATAACAACCTAAGGTGAGGGGAGGACTGAGAGTCGTAAATCTTTCTCCCGTAAGACTGTATTTTAAAGCCCAGTCGGTAACACTATATGTATTCGATTGATCT